AATTTATAAAAACATTAAAATGACTTTGTTAAACCAAACTATGTAAATAAAAAAAAGTCAATAAATCGGTAGAACCAGACTGACTATAATCGACTATTGCTTTCTCGACTTGGCATTTTGTGTATGATTCAAGAGATAAAAATCAAATGTTAATTTTTATCTCTTGTACTCATTTCTAACAGTGAGCACCACGAGAAGGTAGCCAAAAAATCTAATTAAGAATAATAACACTATGGTGTGTGTGTGTGTGTGTGTGTGTGTTTGTTAAGCCTAAAGGCTTATACCACAAAAGGCTATAAATCTTGATATGCCAATATTAAAAAGGTATAAGCAGTTTATGTCAAAATAAAATATCTCATTTCAAATAAATGACATAAACAACACAATTAGGGTGTTCATACCAAATAAAAATGGCATTATATAAAAATGCCAATTGTAAAAATATATGCTAATATCAGATTGGTATAAACTTCTATGCCCATAATTTTGCATAAACATGCAAGATAATTTTGCATAAACATTTAATAATGAGTTATTAACTCAAGCGTTGTGTGTAAGTATGTGTGTATGACAGTATGATAGCATGTTCTTATTTATTTCATTGGTTTAAAAAATGATTATCAATATGCTAGCAAAGACAGATTTATAGAATTAAATAAGATAAAGTTATTATCATGAATAAATAAAAATCTATACCTAAATCTAAATAAGATTTATTAATAATAATTATTAAAAATCAATACCTGATGGTTAGTATAACAAGGTCATATATTAAGTAAGGAATAAACCTAATTTTTATTATTTCTTTGTTAAGAATGTCATGACAGTTTCAGATATTATACTTCATTTGTAGTATTAATGTCTGCTATACTGTTGCAATGCTGACAATACCAGAGCTCATCTTCTTGTTCATAAGCGCTCTGTGGAATTCTTTCACATTGCCGATGAAACCATTCTTTGCAAGTAAAGTATTGAGCCATTTGCCTACAAAACATGAAAAGAATAAAATATTTTAGCATTATTTAGAAAAAATGAATTATGACTTTATAAATGACAAATTTTATGCCACCTGCTAAAAATGTTCTCATCTTTATGGGTCCAAAACATGCGACAAGAGCAATGCAAGCGTATACGAAAGTCCTTTGCTGCACATTTTTTAAACATAGCTGGATTGATTGTGGTAGGGAAAACATCTAACCGGTTCTTTAGTATACACATAAGGAGATGCTTTCTCATTTCACTTTCTTCAAACATTAGAGAAGTGGAAGGTATTCCCTTCACTTCAAGAATTTGTCTAGCCCAAGCAATAGCATACAGTCCACAGTCAACACCATTAGTTTGTTGTTGAATAGGCAATACTTTAATCATAAGATATTTTTTATCACATTGTAAAATAGAGCATATTTGCCTTTTTGTGTCAAAACTAACTGCACCATGAAAAAGACTATCAAAAATATATATTTCTCCTGCAGCACAACCATATGTGGTCACACAAATCCAGTGGACATTTACATCCTGAAGAACTTGGACAAATGGGGTGTTCGGATGGATGTTAAAAGCTAGGACTTGACCTTCAATAGGATTCTGCAGACCAACATCAATATCCAATTGCATAGACATGACTTGTTGACAATAATAAATAACTTTATCATTAAGCATTTCACCATTTTCTATCTCATTCATTTCTAAATTTCCAATCAAAGAAGATTTCAGATATTGCACACTCTGAACAGTCCTTTGAATATGGTTACCATCATCTTTTATGTTGCCTTCAAGCAACTCATTGCTATCATCAGATAATTTTTCATCAGTCTTTATTGAATCAATTAGAACTGTAAAAAATATCACAACTTTCGTTTATGGAGTGATTTGTGATTATCTCAGAAAGTAAAGAAACTTTTTTTTGTTACTACACTTATATCTGTGGCTGCTTTGTAAACATCATACTTGACACCAACTCGTTTAGTCATCTTCCTTTTTCGTCTAATTGGGAGATGACAAAGTCTAGTTGAATTAATTTCAGTCTTGCTCCAAGTATCTGGTTTATTATCTGGACGCAAAAGAATTCCATTTTCACTTGTAATGCTTTTGACTAAGTCAGTTTTCATTTTATAAAGCCCTTCAAACAACAGATCCACATTTTTTTGAGAGTTGCATAGATAAGACATCTGAGTGATTTCGCTTAATAGCTCACGACATGTTATTATAGAGTGACTACTTTGAATTTTATTTGGTGCAATTGTACTTTTAAAATTCATTCCTTGCACATTTGGAAACGGTTGAGGTTCAAGAGGTATAGACAATTGTGTTTCATGTCCGACAACATTATTTTGAATACCAACATTGTTAGGATGAAAAAAATCTTGACATACTACAGAGGTTGCATGGCTATTTTCATCTGTCAATAAATCTAGGCTAAAATATGGTGAATTTCTGTATAAGCTACCAAATGCAGACCAGGAGAGATTTTCTTTTATAAAAATAGCAAAAAAATGCTTGCATGGGTATGGACTACTAAACCAGGCAGGGCAAGAACAACTAGGCAAATGTTTATCATCACCAAGATAGCATTTATAGATTTCTCGACTATTTGAATCAAATGAAGCAACGTTGTATATCTTGTCAGTTACAGCATTAATGCCTTGTAAGTCAAGGCCTTTTAATGTATCAATTAAATGCATGGAATGTTTTACCAAAGGTCGTGGACGATCAATCAAATATGGCGGAATTTTTGCATTGTATTTTCTATATGATGAATGTGCCTTTTTATTTTTATCACAATTGCTAAATAAATTATCACAATTATTATGTTGATATAACAAAGACAAGTTAACAATTTATTATTAATTGTAATGCTGTGACTCGTTACATTCATCATTGTTATCTTTTTATAAAAATACTTTAATATATTTAATATACTATTCCATACACTTTTATATCTTAAATAATAACTCAACTAACATGTCAAATTTGTGAGGAAGAAATTCTTCAATACAAATACTTAGCATAGCTGTTATTGAAGAATTCTTTCGTTTTTCTAAAAAACTATATTTAAAAGATTGATGCTGCCTCTCAGTTCCATTGTTAGTGTTAACATTCAGCAGGAGACGATCCTGTCTGTAAGCAAACACCCATCTCTAAAACATAAAATAAAAAAGTAAACTGTTGGTCAGTTAGTATGAAACATTGTGATAAAATTTTTAATATATATTTGTCAGGTGGTATGTCTTTTTTGGCCAGTTGGTATAAAACACATAATCATCAAAAATTGTGTATAAATAAATAACATAAATAGTACAAAAAGCTTCAACTTTGCAACTTATAACATTAAATCTTATAACATTAAGTAGGAGCATAAGAGAACTCCATGGACCAAATTTCAATATAATCAGAGAAGGTATTAATAGGCTAATTTTGGAATTTTGGGATAAAAATTTATACTTTTCCATTTTTACTTAAAAAATTAGTTTATAAAAAAGTGTATTAAAAAATTAAATTTAATCAAATCTTTTTTTTTTAAACAAACATGCAAACAAGATCAGAACTATGAGTTAATCTAAGAGTTAAAATAAAACAAAGGATTGATGGCTCAATGAGTACATTACTGTTCATAAACATAGGAAGATCTAGTATGTTGCGATAATGATATATACAACTTATTCTATATACAACTTCACTTACCTTTTGGATAGGTAACCAAGTGTTTGTTAAATACTCAGCGAGTTTTTGGTGTATTTTCCATACTTGTGATTCCTGGAGCCCTTGAACTGCCTTTTGACAAATATCTTCTATTTTTGCATGTGCAATATCACGAAGCATTTTCTTAACTTGATCTTTCACAAGGCAGCATCCATTTATGGTTTTTGACAGCCATCTTTCCCAAACTTGCTCTCTGTGAAAAACACAGATAAATACTTTACAACCTAAGTAAAAGAGTTTTAATTATGAATTGTTATAACAGTTTATAATTAAGCTTATTACACTTTTGTTAGTTACGTTATTTAGTGTAATTTGTTAGTCAAATGCAATTTTTGTATATAATTAAGTCCTAGAGACTTTTTGTTTATGTAAAAAATACAACATAGAGAAAATTATTAATTAATGATATAATTATTTACAATTTAGGTTTAACGCCCACACTTTTGTGGTTTTAACAGATCTACATGAAGTTACAAACAAATACATGGTGGGGATCAAATTTAAAACTTCTCGCTCTAAAGCAAACATTTTACAACAAAAACCTATTTTTTTAATCGTTTTTATTTATAAAAATTCTCAGTTAAAATATATTAAAATGAATATATTATAAAAAAAATATAAAAAAAAGTAGAGAGCCTATAAATGAATAATAAAACAATTTAAAAAAATGTAACAAATGTCATAAAAGTACAAAAGAAGATGAAAAAGAACCAGCAAGTTTTAAAGGAATTAGATTAAATGTGCTATATTTGAAATAAATTTTTTTTTTTAATAATATTGTGATTTTTTCATTATTTAAAGATACTTTCCTTATAATTATGAACAGAAAAAATTCATAACTACAGAAATTCTTACCTGGAAACACATATTCGAGTGCATTTATTTCCTCGTTTGAATAATCTGTCATAAAAAACCTCGGTTGAAATAATGGATTCCATTCTTAACATTAGTGCTTTTGTTATAGCTTCTGTGGTTTCATTTTCACAAACAAAAATTGCAACAACTTGGTAATCAATGTTTGTTTTGACAACTAAAAAAAATAGCGGAAGGGCATATCTAGTTGTGCGATATGTTGCGTCTAAAAAAGCCAGTTCATTTCCATATCTATAGAGCAATTTTTGTTGCCATACATCTTGATAAACAAACAGTAACGAATTTTCAAGATTTAAATCATTGTCTGAATAGATTTTTCCTTTTGGTCTAAAATGTATTTTTGCATCTGGACAATATATTTTCCATTCATTAATCTTATCACGCAGACATTCTTGATCTATCATGGATCTGCGAAGATTATTTCTAGC